TCTGGAGAAGGCCACAATACGCTGGACGAAACGTTAGCCACCATGTCAGTGACGTGGCTCGTCCCGGATAGCCTAGACAACATTTCAAATACAGGTCTGGCAAAGATTCCTATAGGGATGTAGGTTGGGACGCGCGCAGAGAAATGGGGTCGGAGAGGTGGGGGTCGAAGTGACCTCGCCGATGCTCCCGCCATTTTCCAAGCCACCGTGTCCGATTCGTTTTTCTGATTTACCCTCTCCAGTGACCTTGAAGAGGCGGAAGTTTATTTCCTTAAACTAAATATGCGAATGCCCTAACCTAGCTCGTCGGGCACGTCTGATAAAAGACATGAAGAAATAAGTTAATGTGATTTTTTTCTCTGTGAACAAACCTTTTAAAAGGGTGAAACATTTTTAGAATACGTTTGCTTCAAAAGATTGAATTTGTCTCAATGAAACAGAAAAATCTTTCCTTTTGAATGACACTTTTTGAAGGTAATTTTACCTCATTGAAGCGTTTGTCATTAAAAATAAATTTTAAAAAACACGCCAGTCTCTTTTCTTTCTCTCTTTCAACATATCCAAATTTTATCAAATCCAAGGGGAACAGCTCGGAATATTTCCTGGAAATAGATATCTTATATGGAATTGCAGAAATAAAACGGAAGGATATCTCCAGGAGAGGAGAATGTCTCTCAAGCAAAAATGTACAGATACAAATTAAAAATGTGAATTAATCTCCAAATAATATATTGTTAGTAAATGTTTTGAGAAATACTATTTAAAAAATATTAACATTTAAAGAATTTACAAATTTAATATTTTCATCCCAATCACATTGTGTAATTTAAAACTATTTCTAGACGATTATGTAGTGCAGACTTGCAAAATCACTGTTGAAAATATTGTTATGATATATTGTTTTCAAGCAGTTTACAAATTGTGATATTTACAAAACAAAATATAGAAATTGTAAGTAATAAATAAATAGCTATTACCATCAAGAAATTCAGTTACAATGTTTCAATTAATTTTTAAAATACCTCCCACTATACATTTTATAAAATACTCCATACGATGAAAGGAAAAAGAAGAAAAACAAAAACAAAATATGTTTGAAAATGAAAACTTTAACTAGTGCTTCAAATATGCATACTACCAGGCGTGTTTCTAGAGGTAGTATCAATTTAAAAACATGATCTAAAAAAATTCAAGTATATTTAAACTATTTTTTACAATAGGCTATTATTTATCAAAAAAGTAGTCGAATTATAAAGAACAATGTTTGGATTAAGTTGTAATCGATTTATTGTAAATATATGTAATATATTAATCTAGTTTTATTCCATTACGATTTATTTACTATTTCAGACACTCATAAGGGATATAATTAAAAATTTTTGCTCCCAAGTTTCTGCGTCTGGGGGTCGGGTACGAAATATTGCCAGACAAATCCCGGAAACACGAGTGATACAATCGCAGGTCATAAAGGAGACCTTCTAAACAGAGGCACCGCGAATATTCATTTACAAACAGAGCGCCCCACTTCGCAAGTAGGGCGCCATGCGCCACCGGGAGGGGGAGGGGCGGAGGGTTGCGGAACGCTCCAATGAGGAAGAGCGGGGAGGGGTGGGGAGGGGAGGGAGGGGAGGGGAGGGGGCTGGGCCTTGGCCGTCGCAAACGCCGTGGCAATTGCTCTCGCCCCAGGCCGCAACACTCGCTGCAAGGGGCTCAGCTCGCCCTGCGGAGGCAACCGCGGCCGCCGCCGGCCAAGGTCGTTCCCACCCCCACCCACCCCCCGCACGCTCCTCACCTCATATTGCCGCGTGAGGCTACAGCTCGCGCCGACTTTGCTACGCGCTGCTGCCTCGGCGCTGCCTCGTCATTACTTTATGGAATAAAATTACCCTGAAGAGCACTGGTTATTCAATCGTTAAAGCGTATGCAGGATGGTCCTAGTCTTGCATCTCAATGTAAAATATGCCCTCCTTTTTACTTGTAATTTGTTTATAATTTGAAGCTTTCTGGTGTAGGAGATAATTTGTGACAGTTTGTTGAAAGTAAAATTTTTGACTTATCTACTTCTCCTTGTAAATAAGAAACACTGGGCTCTCTTTACATCATGTTAGTTTTTAGAGTCCAGAAAATTGACAATGAAAATAACATTCATACTTATGATTAATTAGCGTGTGCTCACACTGTGTGGCAACTAATGTGCAGAACATCTCCCGTTAGCTAATACGATCATTGCCTACTGTCTGTAGTTAACGTCAAATGTCAGTTTACCATTGTTCGCCAGTACAGAACGCCTCAATTTTAATTATGTAAATGTAATATTTAATTGGCTAGGTGGAATAGCAGGCCTTGAGCTCGCCAGAAATAAGATATCATATCATTATCATTATCATTATCATTATCATTATCATTATCATTATCATTATCAATTATCATTATCATTATATTCATCATTATCAATTTAATCATTATCATTAATCATTATCATAATCATTATCATTATCATTATCTTATCATTATCATTATCATTATCATTATTCATTATCATTATCATTATCATTATCATTATCATATATTATCATTAATTACATATAATCATTATATTATCATTAACATTATCATTATCATTATATTAATCATTATCATTAATCATTATCATTTATCATTATCATTATCATATCATTATCATTATCATTATATATCATTATCATTATCATTATCTATTATCATTCATACATTATATTATCATTATCATTATCGATTATCATTATCATTATCATTATCATTATCATTATCATTATCATTATCATTATCATTATCATTATCATTAATCATTATCATTATCATTATCATTATCATTTCATTATCATTATCATTATCGATTGATCATTTATATTATCATTATCATTATCATTATCATTATCATTATCATTATCATTATCATTATAAATTTTTTATATTATCATATCATTATCAATATTCATTATCATTCTCATTATCATTATCATATCATTATCATTATCATTAACATCATTATCATTATGCATTATTATTATTTTCAATCTCTCGCTTAGCGAGGTGCTATAGCAGACCCCGAGACCTTTGTAGAACCAAGGTGCCTGCTTCGCTTGTGCAAACCCGGGCGGTCAGTTATAGCACTAGAAACTTCTAACGACGCGTGCAGTACTCAGGAGAACAGCCTTTTGCATTGTTTGAATGTGCCAGTTTCTTAAGGCCAAGCCTTGCAGACGATGAAATTAGTTCTTCGGAGATCAGTCATTTGCAGAGATTATTATATTATTATTATTATTATTATCATTAATTATTATTATTATTATTATTATTATTATTATTATTATTATTATTATTATTACAAAATGGGAGAAGAAGTTTTGTAGCTGCATCATCAGTTACTCCAACCCCGAAGTACGCGCTTATTTTGACATGTTCGTCTCGTATGCACCGTGTTTTCTTCCAGGGTTCCAGAAGCCTACTGCGCATTGCGCGCAATCGCTAAAACTGCGAAGTCTTGTGGAATGAAACGCCCCACGGGAGGAAATAGTCTGGACCTCCTTTTTATCTCGAGGGACAAAAACTCTTAAAGGATGCAATAAAAGAGTACTGAGGGGGTAGTGGCGGAGTAGCCTGACGGCTAAGAGATATTGTAGACGAGGCAGATACGAGAAATAACCTAGAAGCGACGGGCGTAGTTAAGTGGCAGCTACATATATTGTAATGGTAAGGGATAGCGCTAAACACGGAACAGACCAGTGGGTAGAGATAAGATAACCAAGTAGTGGTTCATAGAATGGAATAAAATGACCCGTACACGCTCAGACACGCTCAGGACACTTCAGACCTTAGACCTTTTGTTCCGGCGAAGAAACACGTTCATCTTTCGCAATGATAATTAAAATGTCAGAACTTAAACCCGTCGATTCCTTATTTTATTCAGGATACGAAATGTTTGGGAATAACTACATTTTGAATGTACGCATTACTTGCACCGGAAACAGTTTGGTTGAACAGTTAAGATTTCTGTCGTCAAGATTGGACGCGCAACTCGTACAGTTTAAAAAGCAACGTATCTGGCAAGTATAAGCTTTTTTATAACTTGTTACTGTCAGGAATGCTATTTTATCCTTTTATAAGGAAATGGATGTGATTTTCAGCTGACTTGAAATATCTTAATTTTTTTTTATCTTATATTAATAATTCAATCCAAGAAATATTTATTTAACTGTATCATTATCTAAGTCAATAAAAATAATTACTTAAAAAATCTTTAATAAGTCAAAACAATTTAGGAATTGTAGTCGGGGCAGCTGGGGGAGAAACTGAAGTCTCACGATTCCTTCGTGGGCGAGCCGTTATTTATTAATTTCAACAATTTCTCCTCCCGTATAGGTACAACCATACTCAGATTTTTCTGTGATACCCACACCGTGCTCTAGATAAAACCCGGACCTTTTCTTATTCATCTTGTTGTTGATACACTGCACCTCTTCTACCGCTTTGTGTCACTCCGTGTACACGGAATCTGAAAACCATCAGGGCGCCCTTGCAACTCGTATAATCGTGGACCCCAACCCCTGCGTGCACGCCCAGGCCGCGACCACCCCCGCCTCCGACACACCGCCGCTCGTTCCGCCCTGCCCCAGCCGCGCCCACGCCGCCGCCTCCGCCGCGCGCTCATGCCGCCCCCATCTCGCCGCCTCCACCACGCCCGGCCGCCCCCGCAACCTGCCCGCGCCTCCACGTTCCCGCCGTCCCTGCCCCGCCGCCTCGCCCCAGCGCCCGCCACCTCCCGCCACCGCTTGCGCCGGCGACTCAGACGCTTGCGCGGCGACGAACGCGTCAGTCTCCGCGCCGGCCGCTCGCAGACCGGAGGTGTCGCGCCGCGCGCCTTTCTTCCCTTCAGCAGCCAATCTGCTCCCGCCCCCCCCTCCCGGCGAGTGAAAGTGCCATGGCGAGCGTGCAACGCGTTCGCCCGCGCCCGCCCGTAGCTGGTGGCTGCCGCTGCTCGCTCGTTTGCTGGGCCGCCCGCTGCGCCGCCCCACGGAGGACACGACGGCCACGCGCACGTGCAACTACGCGCCGCGCCCGCGCAGTACGCCGGCCGCCAGTACGCGACCGCCAGTACGGCGCTGCCCAGTCCGCGCTCAGGCCATACCCCGGCCACCGGAGTGGGTCGCAGTACCCGTCCAACCCGTACTCGTCCCGGCAGTACTCGTCGGCCAGTAACTCGTCCGGGCGTTGACGCGGCGGTGCAGTACCGTCCGGGCGGTTCACCGAGGCCCGCTACGAAGTTGAGGCGCGGGGGCGGTGGCGGGCACGGGGCCCGCCCCACGGGCGGCGGGGCGGCGTCCGCGGCGGACGACCCGCTGTTCCAGTCGCTGCTGCCGCGCGCCGGCGCGGGCTCCGGCCGCCGCGAGGAGGACCTGCCGCGCTTCTCCGAGCAGGACCTGGCCGCCATGTTGCGCGAGGCCGACTCCCTGGGGTCGGAGGCGTGCACGCGCAATGTGCACGCGCAGTGGCTGTACGAGACGGACGTGAACCCGGCCACGCAGTTGCACGCGGTGAGTGCCTTTGCGACTGTTGTATGCGATAAGGTTCTGCCGTGTGTTGTGTCCGTGTGTTTTGCTCCGTGTTTTGCGGCAGAGCGCGGGAATCGATTGGGCACCTGCTGTGTCCAAAAGTGCTTTTGATTTCGCAAGTGTGTCGCTCGCATATACTCAATGAAAATGTCAATAGTAGTGTACTACTGAAAACAGGTCTTTCGGTACCAAATTTTGAGCGAAAAAAAAAGCGTTCGAAATTTGATTACTTCTTATTGCAAATATAAATATACTTACAATTCTAGTAACACAGTAACTAATATGTGCATGCGCGCAATTTAGTTTTCCAAATGAACTTCATCATCACTAGGGTGCCCTGTGAACAGTTTTTAAAAATCAATAAAGTTTAGAAATTACAACATTGAGGTGTTATCGAGCAACAGTTGAATGATCCTCTCCCAAATTGTTGAGGATGATTCATTGCTTCTGGTTTGAAACGAGTTTTAACGATACATATCTGAAATTATATGAACAATACGCCGTTATCTGAAGGGTGTGAGTGTTCTTGGAAGCGTCAGCGGTTTAATAATTAAATGAGAAACGTTTGTCAACGATCGCGAACTGAAGGTTAACATTACCTTAGTATTTTAAACTATACGACCTTGAAATTATTCCAAGTTCCAAGTTTAGATTCCTAGATGTCGCATATTAATTGTCCTAAAATTCCACAAATAACTCCATAATCTAAATATTGGAAATGAATGTATTAAAGTTAACAAAAATGCATAGAAATTATAATTGATTGAGAGAATTGAGGAAGAAAATCCGGGAATTAGTCAGAACTCATTTATTTATCCTTTGAAAACCTAATTGCTATTTTTTAAGGGTCAAGAGACTTTTAACACACCTTTTGCCCTTTCGTGGAACATGTAAAGAGTAATTTCAGTCATTTAAATTAAGAACATTACAAAGCAACATTAAAATAATCTCGCTCTTCTGTTAATGTTACTGATTGAAAACGTGCACAAAGAGTAAAAGCATTTTGAATCACATTCCGTTTCGTATAATTCGTACAATGATCTCATTCTCTTCTGTTTTCCGCGTTCGATTTCTTCATCTAGGACACATTAAAGGAGCAAATGAGGCATACAATGGAGGGTTGTTTTCTCAAGGTCCTTTCCGTTCAACTCGACAAGCGGGCACCCGCACGTGCTCTGAAACATAATAGAGCTCGAACATCTGCCTGGTTAATTCTACATTTTGAATTGTGAAACAATCAATTAGAATTGCAAAAGGTTGGAGACGATTTAACATTTACAGTAATTGATTTATCAGTTCTTTGAAATGCTGTATATCTACTCTCTTTAAACATCTCACACCAAGTTATTCTGATTTAACCATAATATGTATTCAGGGTTCGTCCAATGGACATTATTATGGATTTGTATATCTACACTTCTGTATCAATACTCTTGTTTTTTGTTCCTAGTAATATTTATGCACGTTTTTTCACCTAACACCGACCTTTGTTGCCTTCTCGCCACAAGCGCATTCTGTTGGCTTTCTTATGTTCACACAGGGGGCAATTTCGTGTACGCTTGAAGCGGTAACTATTACTCCCTGGAGCAAAACTCGGTCATCGAGACGTCTAAGTTTTTCACATATCACTTGACAACTGTCGGAGCACCCGTTACACATTTTGAGTTGACACTGAGAATCTGGCTCGTGATATTTTCTTTTACTGCAGAGTCTATGAGGAAAATCGTGTATACCGAATCGCGTTATCAGATGTCTGAGATCATAGTTGGCTCGTTTCAAGTCGGATGTTGTTGCGTCTGTAGATTTCAATTATTGCCAGTTAACTATTATAATCTGGGCACGTTTGCTTGAGTTCTCATTTAGCAAAATGCAGGAGGAATTAATTTATAGTCAGTATTACCAAATAAAATACTATGATTTTCGTTTGTAGTGACAAAAAGCTTTTATTTCACGCATGTGAATATTTCCTGTTAGTAAATATTATCAAAATTTGCACTTGCTATCTTTTATTCATAGTTCAACTCTTTTGGAAACTGAGAAGGGGCTCAGGGAGGCTTGTGCGTGTAATGCAAATAACATTAATATTAGATGTGTTTATTATTTTACAAGGAGAACCGTTCTACTACGTGACCTTGCAACCCTTTCGGAATGAAAACTGAATGTTCGCTTATTCGCTCTGAGAAATTAGTTAGGTCCTATTCAGGTGTCCCACTAATTATGAGCCACCCCCATTACTTCTAAATGCTTCCTTATATCAAAATGCAGTTTTCTCTCAACATTGAGGAATCGTGGAGAACGTAATATGCCGTAAAGATAGATATTGTTTGAGTTTTTTAGTTTTCGTAAAATTTAATTATTTTTTAAAAGGAATTAGTATACATTCTTTTCGTCGGCAATTGATGTATTAAAAAAAGGAGAAAACATTGATGTTTCATATGTTAATATTTTGAAAGCAATTTAAGTGAAAAATTAGACTTTCTGGCGTGCAATTTTAATTTAAAAGGACAACATTCCTGTAGCAACCCTTGCATCGGTCGCCTTGCGGGAAGGTGGCCTTGACGGCACTGTTGCAGGGAAAGGGGAGAGGCCGCGAAGGTCACCTACGCCGAAAGGGACATTTGAAAGGGCTCCTGTAGGAAATATTACACGTTTAATTCAAAATCACATGCCAGAAAGTATAATTTATACATAAAATATTATCAAAACATTAACAAGTTACATCACAGCATTCCTCTTTCTATGTTCTAGCAATTGGGCAAGAGAGAAAAATAATAGGTTCCATTTACAAAACCAAAAATGATTAAATTTCTCGAAATCTAAAAATATTTAAAAAAAATATATCTACAGCCTAATTCTTGCACCATATTTACGAATTGTTGAGCAAAAACAGTATTTAAATATCGTAAATTGTTTAGAAGTTATGGGGATGGCCCATAGTTCGTGGGACTTCCTGTATATTCTGTGCATTGAAAGCTAGTGTACACGGAATATACATTGATGAGCTCGAAGACTTCTGGTGACGTATCTCTTTTAGCCGAATGATTCATACAACAAGCCGTGACTTTTGTCTCGCAGGTATATTACAGCACAGACTTCTTGAAGAAAATTCTCGTTTGCCGAATATACTGCGTATCTTTCAAGAAACTGATATAATCCCTGCAATGTGAAATGACAAGAAATATTAGGACATGTCTGTTCCAATTTTCTTCGATAACAATTCTTTCGAAGCTGTTGTTTCCTCTATATTCTCTCCCTGCTATGAGATATTTGCCAATAAAATGCTGACGTACTGTTTTGCCATTCCCCAGGAAATCCAAAATATATTTTTAACAGTTTTCATTGGTTTCGACACTTTTAGACTTAGTTGATTAATTAAATTACAATTAAATATTTTCCTTCACTTGCCAAATTATTATTACGTTAAATAAATAAAAAAAATATACATTTTGTGTATGCAGCATGTAATCGTGTGTTTTAAAAACTCGTAACAAACGATTCCTTCTATTTGTGCACTATTTACTAATCTCAATATATGCGGTATTTTACTTCTCGAGAATGGTAAGTAATTTGTTGGGAATTAATTCTGTTCACTTTTCGGTGGTGTATCCCTGAAAAATAGCTGAGGTACCCCACTATACTTCCCTTCACAATATAAATGACGGAGCAAATGTGTTGCAGGTTTTTTGCAAATAAACTGTTATGATGCGAACACTCATTGGTTCTATCCATAGAGTATATAAGGATCTGTATTGTAGAATCGAGTATTATATTACAGGAAGTGAGAAAGTATACGTTCAGTAAGATTTCCACGTATGTTAAGCGAACACTGGCAGACATATGTTATTGTACTGAGATTGTGCACTTTATTCCCGGGAAAGGAATAAACCTTTTCTTGTCAAGTGTGAAGTGAAAGAAAGTTCAACTAGTACGTATCCTATAATCCGATCATACATTGTCCATTCCCCAGGCCTCTCTAACTTTGTCCCCCAATATGGATCCAGAAGAGTGGCCAGAGAATACGAAACATGTGACGTTGACAGCAGGCAGGCCGTTGCCTTAGCCGCGGTGCGTCAGGCGACGCTTGGGGGCTAGGCTGTACCTCCGCCGGACACGGCAAGTGATAAGCGGTGGGTCGCTTTCCCCGGCGATAAGGGTTCGGCGTTTTACGCGAAGCGCTCATGCGCCGGGAGCACGTCAGACCCGGAGAAAGTTTAGGACCGCCGACGTGCCACCTGAGGCCATCGTTCCTGGTCAGCTGACAGTGTGTGAAGGCGTGAATCTATTCAACGGTGTTCACGGGAAGAATGGAGAATAAAACTTGTCATTCAATGTCTGTTAAATTGTTGGATCAGATGGCATTATTAGTAAATGTGATACAGCGCGATAAACTACACTCTTTATAATTGTTTCCTAAAGAGTTCCACTTTTTCCAAAATACGCGAAACTGCAATGTAGCAAAGCAATGTTAAAACGATCAAAACACATTGCAATGCTTAAAAACACATTTATATTGCAACGTTAAAAAACACATTTAAATGTTCCATGCTCGATTTAGAAAAATCACCCGTAGATGTTCTGAACAATAATATTTATTAATGAAACTGTCCAATACCTCTAATAGCAATATAAACGAAATACATATCAATATAACGACATAAACCGTAACACTGATCATGTATTTTTATTTGTCATCTACGCTTAACCACGTGTTCTCTAGACATGATTATGTCATGACTTGAATGTTCACTGGTGAGGGCTTTGTAAGAAACGATGAATTGCTTCGCTAACAAGGATATGTACTTTAAACATTGAATGAAAGACTTCTACATTTGTCGATTTTTTAATGTCTTGTGTTCCTAGGCTTCGCTTTTTGTTTTATATTTAATAGTTTTACCATACGATCATTGGATTGCGATGTTCAAAGATATAAACACGTCTTCCTAATACCTCGTCTTCTAAAGTAAATGAACGTAAGCCCATAA